GTGGTACTAGGCTTGAGCCAAAAATAAAACCCTCAGGGACAGTGTCCAGGTCCTGAGTTCAAGCCCCAGAACTGGCAAACAAACACAGTCAGTATTTACTCAAGTCAGGGCCCTTGTGAGTGAGACTGTCACCCATAAGAGGAGGGTTGGAAGTCACCCTGTGACAGAGAACAGCACCTCTCCACAAGGGCAGACACGCCTGCGTCAAAGGAAAGTGGCCAGGAACGGACGCATGGGAGCGGATGGACGGGAGTGGACAGGAGTGGACAGGTGGGGTGGATGGACACGAGGGGACAGGTGGGAGGGAGTGCATGGGGGTGGACGGCAGGTGGATGGGGGAGCGGTCGGGCTGGCTCTGGGGACTGTATGGTAACTGCACCTGGGGGGTGGGTGTGTGGTGTGTCTCAGCCAGTGGCTGTGTAATATGTGCGTGAGGCTCTGCTGGCCGGCGGCGTGGCCGCTGCTGTGGAACGCAGAGCCGCTGGGCCATGCGGCAAGTGTAGTCGCCATGACTCCAGAGTGGTGAAAGGTGAGAGACCACGGGCGCCCCACCCAGGGGCCGGGACGCGGGTGGTGAGGGCCACGGGGCCGCAGCTGCGGTGCTCACGCTGGTACCCAGTCACCAATTCAGAAAGAAAATAGAAAGCAGACTCAAGAGAGTCGGGGAGAGAATCTCCAATTAGCACCAATTAGTGAAGTTGCTTTCTGGAGCAAATTTTTGAGGAGATGAAAAAAAAATCTCCCAGAATGCCTGGGGGCTGCCTTAGTCTGGTGATTCCACTTCCTGCGCCGGACCTGAGGGCCAGGCTGCGCCGCGTGCGGGCGCGCGCGGGGACTGACGCCGGTTGCAACTTGCCTGCTCGATTCGACTGGTCGATCATGGGCTGCACTATTCTCCTCCTGGCATTAATAAACCTGAAACAGAACAGAGAAGCCTCGTCACCCACCTCCGCCTCTGCGTGGAGAACACTGCGTGAATAGCTGAACTGAGAAGAAGGTCTGTGCGTGCACGCGCACATGCGTGCATGCTGAAAAGCCTTGTCTTCAATTTAAAAGCATTTTCTCTGGCAGCGAATGCACAGCCAGTTGCCCCCTGTGCTCCCCCACCCCCCAGCTGGGGAGGACAAGCCGTCTCCAGGAGAAAGCTTCCTTCCTTCCAGCCCGGCTCGGCCTCTGGCACAGGCAGGGGTCTGGGTAGAGGTCACAGGCTGGGCAGCTGTCCCCTGGCCGATCCTGAGGGAACAGCTCCTCCTTGCAGCTGGCCATAAATGGAGACCAGGCCCTGGCACTGGTTCAGAAGGTATTGTTAGGTCAGCAGAGCCATCAATTAGGCTGTCTGAAGTTTTATCACCAACACAGCAGTAATAAGTGCTGGCCAGAAAGACTTCTGCTCTTAGGCAACTCCTGCAGCTTAAGCCTGTAAAGTTCGGGGTCATGCCGGGGTCAGAACCAGCTGGGGGCGGCCTCTGCAGCCTGAGCCGGGACACCCGGGGCTGGGGACATAAAGCCAGCCCCCTCTCGACCCCAGCCTCAGGTACACATGGTTGGGATGAGAGATGAGCCGGGCAGGCACGCTCAGACCAGGTGGAGATGGAATCTCAGGAATGGAGAGGAAAAGCTGTTACTTGTCCGAGAAGCTGGACCTCATTTTGGTGAAAATATAAACATAAATGCTTACTTCATGTTACTTTAATGTTTAATAATACCCATCAAATATTCATGTGCAAACAGTAAGCTGATAAGAAATCTCCTTTATTTCTCCAAATCTAATAAGAACAAAACACTTTTCGACCACTTAGGAGCTACCTGGTCCCAGTGCTTTCCCGCTTAGGGATCACGGCAGATTCTAGGCCCTGGGCGTGGCAGGGAATCGCTGCGGGCTGCCCCCCCACCCCATGCTGGCTCTGCATCCTGAGCACACAGAGACTTAAGGATGGATGACCACGTGCGCGCTCAGGCTGGACGGCCGCAGAGCTCTACAACTCAGGAGCTTTGTGCTCTTCCCCCACCCCACCCCTCCTTTGGTCGTGGGGCTTGAACCCGGCCTGAGCACTTTCCCTGAGCTCTTTCTGCACAAGGCTAGTGCTCTAGCTCTCTGAGGGACAGCGCCACATGCAGTTTTCTGGTGGTTCACAGGAGTCTCATGGGCCTCCCCGCCAGGGCTGGCTTTGAACCACTGGCACAGCCCGGCTCTGTGTTCCTTCTAAGGTGAAGATCCTCGCGGAGCCCTCACGCGAGCTCCTAGCACGGGTCTCAGCGCACAGCCCCGCACACGGGGTTTCGTGTCACACAAGGACAGCAGGGCAGCCGCACGCGCCTGCCAGCGGAGGTGGCCACGTGGGGTGTGGCTGCGTCACCCACCCACGTCACCTCAGGGGCAGAGAAACGGCCAGAGGTTTCCAGAAGAAGCCCTCAACTCAGAGAGGAGCCCATTTCCACACTTCCCCAGTGCTTTCGCAGTGCACCTCTCTATGGCTCAAGTGAAGACCCCAAAAGATGCTCGGAACAGCTTGGAAGTTTCTAGTGGAAAGGTGTGTGTGTGTGTGTGTGTGTGTGTGTGTGTGTGGTGTGTGTGTGTGTGCGCACCTGTGTACTGTAGCCCACTTGCTAGGTAAAACCAGTTGCTGGCTATGGTTTCCCCTTTAATCCCACCCTTCTGCTTCCTTTCTGTTGTCATCTGGGCGAAGCTGCCTTCCTGAGCCATTCCTCAGCTCGCAGCTTGCAGCCGGAGAGTGCAGGCTGCCTTCAAACAAATCATCACGGGCAAGGTTAGAGGTTCACTCACAGGTCACTCCTGAGACGCCCCAGGATGGTTAGTAAAAACGGGGTCCACTCACAAGGTGGTTCCACGGAGGCTGCCCAGCCACACAGACGGCGCGCGGAGCGGGGCCCCTGTGCTCTTCCCGGCCGGGCCGGCACCACTGCAGGCTGCTGCCACGGCCAGGGCTGACCAGCCCCACACATGCACACGCGCGCGCATACATGCATGCGTGCACGCACCGCCCTTCCCAGCCCACTTCCCAGCAAGTAAGTCTGCAGCTCTGTACGCACACATCCAGAGGGGTTATGGGTATTTTGCTTTATCACGTGGGCTCCATTGAATCTCTCTACATTTTTGTTCTCAAACAATATTTATGATCCATCGTGCTAGTCCCTGCCAGATTCAGAATTCTACCACATTCTTTCAAATCACACAATTTCAAAAACATATGGCCTCCAACTTTTCAGAAATCTCCGAACGTACAAGTCCTGCCAATTGTCAGCTCCTGGTAATCCTGATACATTTTATTGTTAACTCCCCAAACCCTGGCTTATTTCCTTAATGACTCTAGGAAAATTTTGGTACTGAAATACGAAAGTATACCTTCCCCAGACCAGTGACCCGGGGCCACCCTTAGAAGACACGCCGGTGACTATAAAATGGAGCCAAAACGAATCACACGAGGAATAACTTCAGTATTGCTACAATGAACTTCCCATGTAATATGGACAGAACTACATGACGTGGGGAGTTCCCCACTTCCTCTTATACATATTTTCAAATGATCTTTCCAGTACTCAAGGAATAAACAGAGTATCAAGATTTGATTCTACTTAAATGTAAAAATGAAGTTGCAGACTTGAAAGTCACCACAGCTCCCCCCTTGGGGGGCCACGCTCCATTCACATGGAAAAATGCAACTTGTTGTAGAAAGACAAAAGACTTATCTTCAAAAGGCTCTGCGGGGCTCTTGGATATTAACTGGGCCTCACAAAATAACATTTTGATGAGTTAAGTGTAAATGAATCAGTCACATATGGATTGAATTTCACACGGGTTTAAAAAATAGGGGAAAAGAGGGTCTTGGCAAAAAACATTTTGGACTTTGCCAAACCTAAAACATTTGAAAAATTGCTGAAGACATCCAACTAACCAAAACGTAGCTGCTGCACCCAACCTTCATGAAAACTCCCACAAGTTCTTCCCAGCTCAGAGACTGCGAGGTTTCTCATCTGTATCGGATATGAAAAAAAATCCTCCCAAGTTTTAATGTCATTGTAAGATGTTTTTTGAGATTGTAGACATATAATGTATTTCTCTATTGGTATATAAACAATTTAACCCTAAGTTTTCAAGTCTTCTTAGCTTCTTAAATAGTTCTTTGACATAATCTGAGTATAGACTATGGTAGCAAGCCTGGAACCTGATCCAGATCCTGCTTAAAAGAGAGTCTGCGTTACCCTCACTGGGAGTTTTTTAAGGGCTACAGAGAACGCCATTTGCGGGTCCTTGCAGAGCGGGCCGCGACGTGCACTCCTTTCATTGATTGGTGAGTTATTTCCCAGGCTCACACAGCATCTTGGAGAGGACCATAAAGACTGTCTGCTGCTCTCTAACTGCACTCAAATAGAAAATGCGTTATTAGCATGCGTGTTCCTTAAAAATTATCTACTGGCACGTTAGCCTTAGAATAACCTAATTATAGGAATAAATTCAATGACTATCCAAAATCATGAAACCTTTTAAAGTCAACCCAGAGGTGAAAAATTAAGAAGAAAGAATCCAGTACATTAAAAGAATTTACCTAACATGGCAAATATCACTAACTCTCACCTTACTATCCTGCTGGAGCGATGCCTCCTCTCCCCCCATCCCCTCAAAAATCCAAACATTTTTTGGTATTGCATAGTTTCCTACAACTGAAATTTGAGAAACTTCCATTTTTTTTTTCAAATACTTTTAGTGCAAAGCATAGTTCAGGTAGAAGATGTGTGATTGTTTTTTCTTTTTTTCTTTTTTTGTTGGTGTGGGGCTTGAACTCTGGGCCTGGGCGCTGTCCCTCAGCTCTTCAGCTCAAGGCGAGCACTCTACTGCTTGAGCCCACAGCGCCACTTCCAGCTTTCCAGTGGTTTATTGGAGATAAGAGCCTCACGGACTTTCCTGCCCCGGCTGGCTTTGAACCGCAATCCTCAGATCTCAGCCTCCTGAGTAGCCAGGGTTACAGATGTGAGCCACCAGCGCCAGCAGATGTGTGATTCTTGATAGCTGGTTGGTTTGACACGCACCCCCTTTCATGGCTGCTAAACTCCTTGCTGAGTTACTATCACAGCCACACCTGGAAAGCAGCTCCTGGGTCTGGGCAGGAGTCTCAGGGAAAGCAGCCAGCCCCAGCCCGCGCTGCAGAGCGCTGCCTGCCTTCGGGATGGGCTGGGTTTGGGCAGGGAGTGCAGGCAGCCAGGTGGCCAGAGCCCTGCCTGCGCACTTGCTGCCCAGCATCGTGTGCCTGGAGCAGGGTGCTGTGCCACAAAGCTCGCTCCCACTTGGTGTTTCAGTAATAAGTCCTCAGCATGGGCAAATCACTTGGCAAGTTTCTGTTTGTTTTCTGATGTATGGAAAGAGAAGGTAAGTGTTTCTGCACTGAGTTAGGGTTATAAGTAGGCTTTCCTCAGAAGGACATGCTGAAACCGTTCACTCAGGGAATTATTAGACAGACTCAGCAGTCACCAGCATGCCCTTGGGCGCATGCCTGGTTGGGTCAGGCCGCAAACCAAGGTGTTTCACTAGGGGCCACACGCTGGATCCCCAACAGACACAAGCCAAGCGAGTGAAAGAAGGGGACACGTCTGCGACTTAGGAACACGCTCTCACATGGCAAGTCATAGCTCCCAGTCAGTTTGCCCACACGGTAAAACACACAAAGGATCTATCGATAAACTGGCAACATTTAAGGGTGAGTGTGAAATCATGCACCTTTGGTGGCTTTGCGAATCTGCCTTGAGTCCTGTCCTGTCTAGCTCTGCGGCCTTCTACTTCCTTCTCTCAGGATCTTCCCTCAACTTCCAGGGAGCCACATCGGTTCTTCCGGAAATGCCCTCCTTTGAGTGATGTATAGACAAACTCCAGGAAGAGGCAGGGGCCTCGTGTTTTCTGCCCT